GTCATGTTAATATCGATTTACTTAGCCAGTTTTATTATGAAAAGGAACTGTATTAATGTACATATTAATATATAGTCTTTATTTAATTATAAATAAAATTAATATTGATGTAATTGCAATTTATATAAAAAAATGTATATTCTTCATTCTTTATTTCTAACAATATTTCTTTTTATTCAAAAATTTACATATTATGTTCACAGTGAAGGTAAGTATAACCGACTTCTTAACTTTTTAATTTAATGAATAATAAAATAAATTAATATTAATTTTTATATTATTATATTTTTCAATATCCTTTTCTTTATTTTTCAATAAAACATTTTATAACTTATTTTATTTTGGATTTAATTGATGAAATTTAGTTAATTCAAAAAACATATTGATTTTCCTAGTTCCTTCATATTTGAGTTATATGAATAACATATTCATTATTGCTACAGTTATATTTTTATACATTATATATAATAATACGAAAAACGAATATATAATAAAATATTATGTAATTAAAAAGTATAATATTTAATTAGTAATAATAATATTTTTATATATTTTTATATTATATATTTTTTGATTTTTTATATATGCAGATAACGTGGCAATTAATAAAGATAATGAAGAAGAAAACTCCATACCATCGCAAATAACAATAACATCTTGGAATGTAAGTTTTCTAAAAAATTCAATGTTAATTATATATATATGATAATTATTTATATTATAATTATATATAAAATGTTATATATTGTATAATTTATATAATATAAATTCATAAGATATTTTTAAAGGATTAATTCTATAAATCAAAATAAATCGAAAAATTGATATATAAAAATATTGATTAAAACTGAATTCTTTATTAAATTATAAACAATTTAAGTTTATGTTAGATGAAATAAGATAGAGATAAAATGAAGCTGCAATTTCCATTACATTGCGATATTGTTTCAATGTAATTTAAATTATTTATAACTTAATAAATATTCTTCAAGATACTTTCGTATAACTATACTAATTTTTATATTTGTTCTGACATCTAGAATCGATCTTTCAAAGATATCCTATATGTATTTATATCTTGTATATTTTTTCTGAATTTTTATTTTTTTACATATAGAAATCTATATTTTGTAAAATTTAATAAGAGTTGCATAAATAATAAAAATATACTTAAAAATATACTTTAAAATTTATAATCTGAGCAATATATAATATAAAATATATATAAAATACAATATTATACAATATTATTATAATACTTACTATTATACAATATTATTATAATATTGTTCATGTACATTCATTTCTAATCTTTAATTTATTAATAATTTTTATTAATTTATTTTGAAAAGCAAATTATATTTATGTATGTGGATTAAAATTTTATTAACAAACTCTGCAATTAAAATGTTTTACATTAATGTATCATATTTAAAATGAAGATTAATAATACATTGAAATGAAGATTAATAAGATTATGAATATTGTCTTTTCCTCTTTCTTGTTTTTTTTTATTAAAAATATATGGAGTTTATTTTTTTATAGGATATGCCTTTCTCAGGAATTGTACAGAAAAATGGAAAATGGATTGGTCAAGGATATGCATTTTACATTTTTGATTTAATTAGTTCGAAATTGAATTTCACATATACTATTATTCCACCAAAAGAACATATTTTGGGTAATGAAAGTAGTGGTATTCTTGGATTACTCTACGAAAAAGTATCATTTTAAGAATTTTTTATATAATAAAATAAAAAAGATAAGGTAATTAATTAATTATTGCAAAATTTTATTTCATTTTATAGAAAGTAGATATAGCTGTTGCATTTCTTCCTATGTTACCGGAAATGCGACGATATTGTTCGTTTAGTACTTTACTAGATGAAACAAAATTAACTGCTGTAATGAAGAGACCTCAGGAATCGGCTACAAGTTCTGGCCTATTGGCACCTTTTGAGAAAACTGTTTGGTTATTAGTTTTAACATCATTAATTTTTGTGGGACCAATTATCTATCTTTTTGCTAATATGAGGTTCTTAAAAATTTTTCTATTAAATAATTTTTCATTAATAAATATAAATATTTAATTAAAAATTATTTAATGTTTTTAATGTTTCTAAAATTTTATATTGAAAAATAAACTATTATTTTATAATTATAATAATTTTTTAATATAGAGCAAAATTATGGCATGATCCGACTTCTGAAAATTTCAGTTTGTCTTCTTGTTTCTGGTTCGTTTATAGTTCACTTTTAAAACAAGGAACAAACATTATTGCTATAACAGGTAAAATATTAACAATTTTAAATTCTTTATCATTACAATTTTAAATAATTGTAATTTTGTGAAATTGCAGATTCAACGCGAATGCTTTTTGCCACTTGGTGGATTTTTATATTGATTTTGACATCTTTTTATACAGCAAACCTTACAGCATTTCTTACAAGACCTCAATTTACACTATCTATTAGTTCACTAGAAGACATTGTTCACAAAGAATATAATTGGATCACTTACAAAGGACGCATAGTTGATTTTCTCCTTTCTCAAGTAAGAATTTTAACTACTTTTAATATTTTATAGAATAAATTTTGTAATAAATAAAAAATTTAATCCATATATATATATATAATAAATTATTTTTAGAATCAGCAAAATGACTTAAGTTTATTGAACATAAGCAAACAGCAAGGAAAAGGAATTTTCAAATATTATGAACCATCAAAACCTATTTTAGAATTAGTTAGTACAAGTATGTATCAAATAATATAAGATATATGTAGATAATCTGGTAAACATGAAAAATTATAAAAATAGATGATACATAATTTTTCTTATTTGATTTTTTTCTTTCTTTTAGAGAGACTTTTTTTAGAAGAAACACATTATTTAGAGTCTTTAATATTCAAGGATTATGTGAATAAGACTCGCGATCATTTAGAACATAATTTACGTTGTACATATGTTATAATGCCTGGTAATATTTTAGTAACTAGTCGTGCCTTTGGTTTTTCTCATGGTTCTACTATTGAAAAATATATAAATAAAATGTAAGTTTTAATTTTTAGCTAATTTATTTAATTTGAAAATAAAAACAATTGCTTATTATTTTTAATAAATATCCAATCATATATAGAATCAATTTTCTATATATTAAAAACTTTTTAGACATTATTTATTATTGAATTTCAGGTTATTAAGATTAAGAGAAACCGGTATTACACAATTTAAAAAAAAAGAAGATCTTCCATTAGCTGAAATTTGTCCAGTCGATCTCCGTTCAACTGAAAGACAATTGCGAAATACTGATCTTCTTTTGACATACAAAGTTGTCATAGGTGGATATACAATTGCTACAATTATTTTTTTATTTGAATTAATTTACGCGTGTATATCTTACCGATTACAAAATAGTAAAAAAAAAATATGTCTTCCTTGTTGCGTTCTAAAAGAAAAAATACAAAATCCCTTAAATAACAATTTTTCAAACGAGAAGTGTATTATTATGTTAAAAAAAAGTCCACCAACAATTTATCAAAATCATAAAAATGTTTTGATACAAGGAAAACGACAATTTATCAATGGAAGAAGTTATTATGTAATAACTGATCCAGTCGGTGATCGAAAATTAATTCCTATTAGAACTCCTTCTGCTTTTCTATTTCAATGTACAACTTGATTATAGAATTAAATAATATAAAAATATACATTTAAATTATTTTATAATAATATATTAAACTTTTAATTATATGTTTAAAAATTATAATTCAAACAAATTAAAAATTATTAGTTTGTTTTTTGTAATTTGTTTGATTTTATAAAAAGTTTATTTATAGCATATGTATTGTCATAATAAATTACATTAATAAGAACATAAAACAATTGATATGATATATACATTAATATAATTTAATATAGTACAAGATATAAGTAATATAGTACAAGTTTCCTATATTTACATTGATTCAATCCTCTTCTTTGTTTATAATTGTTTAATTAAAATTTATGCTATTAAAATTATTTTTATTAAAAACTAGTGTTAAAATTATTTAAAATTTTTAAAATTTTTAATTTATGCTTTATTTTTATCTTAATTTTTT